TTTAATCCCAGCACTTGGGAGGCAGAGGCAGGTGGATCTTTGTGAGTTTGAGGCCAGCCTGGTCTACATAGTGAGTTCCAGGACAGCTGGGGCTATAAGGAGACCCTGTCTCAAAAAGACAAAAAAAAAAAAGAAAAAAAAAATCATGAGATAGATCATAGTCCTTGAGTCAGAAACTAACCTTCCATCCATAGTAACCAGCAGGTGAGTGGGAGTGGCCTGGGCTGCTCCCCTGAGGGCTGGCTAGAATGGAGCTTTCTGCAAAGTGACCAAGCATTCTGGTTGCTCAGCACAGGTATCTCAGAGTTTTCATCAGCAGACTTTGGGTGAGTGAGATGAATCTGAGGTCATTCAGTTAAAAAGAACCATAAAATTCAGCTGTGATTAGGGTAGATTTATTTCAAAATAGTACTTCCTACAGTACGTAAAGGCACTCGTAGGAGATAAGTAAATTTGATTCAAAACTCTGAAAACCTTCAGGGTGGGATTTGGTCTTCCGACTGTTAGTAATTAAGAAATCCCAAGAGTCACCACATTGCCTTTTGAGGATGATTAGGCTCCTTTTCACCCTATTCCTCTTCATTAGGTTCATTTTAGTCCAATAACATTTAATCTTACACTGAATATTGGAGAATGAGCTGAGGAATCATTGATTCTGAATCTGAACAGCCCTCAAAAATGTCCTTGAGTATTGTTTTGAATGATCTGCATCTCCCCTTGAAATTCCGCTTACAAATTCTTAGTAAAGTATCATTTTTGGTTACTATGAGTATCTTAACATAATTAAGAAGTAACCTCAAAATGAATTCAACAGATGTTCTATTTAATGAATTCTGAACAAGTTCTTTAGCTGCTTTTTTTAGAAGTCAAGCAAAACTAAGCATTTCCCAGATTTACAGGCAGCAGATAGATTAGGAGCAATTGGATGCATGTAGTTTGGAGCCTGCAGATCTCTTCAACAAAAGTTCACCTGGTCCTTGTCTTGTATCAGTGGGACTTACTGATACTAGATCTTAAAAAATTTTAAGCTACACCTGCAGTCTAACCTGTTCTGTGAGGTTTTTAACTTAAAAACTTGCATAAAATCTTTATCTACAAACTGAATTTGGTTTGTAGGTTTCTGTCTTGAATCCTTCATTGTACAAATATTTTAAACGTGTATTTAAACTTAGAACCCTGGAGGTACATAGCATCTGAGTTACACAAACAGGCTAATATTTTGCTAATTTCTAGCTCTCCCATTTATATCTGAATGATAGGAAATATTTTTAGTATTTCCCTCTCAGCTTCAAAATTTAACTGTCATTCATTAATCTAATAAACGCCTCATTTGTTTAGTTATTAGATGTTATTATATGAAGTTGATTATGACAGTGTGGCATGGGGAAAGTTTATGAATTAAAACCTTATGATGTCTTTAAGTGTTGTGATAGCATTAAGTATGATGTTTGATTTGAGTAAGATGAGAGGAAATTTTGTGCAATTGAGTGAAAGACAATGGTAGTTGAATAGCTTCTAAAATTCTTACTTTCAGCTACATTTGATTCTAAGGGCATAGTACTAAAGTCTTATGTCTATATGCAAGGTTCTGGGAATTTCAATATAGTTCTTTTGAAGGGGAAATTACCAGTATATTTTATAAAATGTATTTTAATTTGTGACAGGTTTGTGGCTGTTCTTGTAAAATGTTCATGTCAAATCATTAGACTATGTAAAAACTAATAGGAGTAAAATATCAATTCATTTTGTTTCTCTTAGTTTCTTTTTCTCTGATTTAAAAGCCACTGTCTGGGTTTGCTTCCCTTAGTTTACTCCATCCAGAAAAGACATTTATAAATACACATGGTCCATATACTTTCATTTGTAAAGGGACGTGTCATTATGAGCATGTGCTACACTTTCTAACCATCAATCTGCTTCCTTTAAAGGTACGTAGGGAGTACAGGAAATTCTTTAGAGCTAATGCTGGAAAGAAAATCTATGAGTTTACACTTCAAAGAATCGTAAGTTGGTACTTTATATGTATGATTAGTTAGCATTTTTAGATTAACAACTTAGTATTATCAACTCGGTAAAATGTGACTTTTGAAAATCCACATTTTTGGATAATGATTAATCACAACGATAAAAGGGCATCAGTGATGACCTTTCGTATCATGTCCCCTAAGTCCAGATAGAATTGTGTCAGAACGTTAGCAGCCTGTGATTGATAACTTTTCATTTTATTTGCTAGAGAAAACTGAGGAAAGTGAACCAAAGAAAGCCAGTTTTTGCCCTGTTAAACTGCTATGAGCAGTGGAGGGCAGGCTTGGTGAATAGGTTAGTGGATAGCTGGGTGAAGGGGCTGGATTCTGGAGTTGTCCTGCTTTCAGAGAAGAATGTATTGTGGTGAAAGTGTACAAATACTTAAGTATTTGTACACTGCATTGATGCTTATAGATTTATGACTCTAGCATATAACTTCTAAGGATCTTATTTGGTTATATGAGGATTTAACTTGAGTAATGATACAAAACGCACTTTTCCAGTGCCTGGCATGTGTTAAGTAGAGACGATCCTTGGCATATGATGGAGTTATATCCCAGCAACCCCATCCTAAGTTGAAAATACCATATGTCAAGAATGCATTGAAGCTGGGTGTGGTGGCACGTGTCTTAATCCCAGCACTTGGGAGGCAGAGACAGGTGGATCTCTTGTCAGACAGAGGCCATCCTGGTCTACATAGCAAGTTCCAGGCTAGCTATGGGTACAGGGAGACCCTGTCTCAAAAAGACAAAAGAGAAAACTCAAAACAAAACAGAATGCATTTAATGAACCTAACCTACCAAACATCACAGCTCAGAAACATGGTCTACATAAAAAACCTGTCAGTTCTCAGTTGCCTGTCCTGATAGCATGGCTGGCTGGGCCCTACATTTACAGCCCAGCATCACAAGAGAACATTTCCACTGTACCTCACTGCCCCAGGAAAAACATCAGAATGCAAAGTGTGGCTTCTAAGTGCACATTGCCCTTATACCATGGTAAAGTCCAAAGTTCATAAGTTGAGCCATTCTAAGTTGGTGACCATCTGTGCTCTATAGCATTGCTGTCTAGAACTTTGTACATGGATGAATGTGTTCTACAACTTTCAGGTACAAGAGAATAGCCACTATCCACATTAGTTATGTATCAGTGTGACTGATGGACTAGATGGTTTATTTAATTTTAATTTAATTTTATTTATACTTAAAATTTAAGTATAAATAGCCACAAACTGTCGTTGACTCCCTGTCAAACACCACAGCTCTGCAGTGATGCAGTGTTGGGACTGTGTTAATGAGACTATTGGTGTCAGAAGTCATCTTTTCTAATAACCATTTGGTGAAACTCACATTTCCCTAGCTGGTACAAGAGTGAAATTGACTTCCCAGAGGGTATAAAAATTGTATGGACTAAAACTGATAAATTCTGTTAAAGGCTGATTTGATTGAGCACAGAGCACATAACATAATATCTTCTCTGGTATATTTTCCTCATCTAAAATTTTTCTGTCAAACCCAATACAGGTGCAAAAATACTTCTTGGAAATGAAAACTAGAATGCCTTCCTTGTCACCAATAGACAAAAATTGGCCGCCCAGACCTTACTTGTTCTTGGATTCAACTCACAAGGAGCTCAAAAGAATTTTCCACTTGTGGAGGGTAAAATCTGCAACATTTTTTCAAAGATTATCTTTGAGTGTTGGAAAGCTGTTAGGTAAAAATCAAACCTTTGGCATCGCTTCTTTCACCTTGACAAGGGTGACTTGAGGACTTGAGCACCTCGGAGCTTTTTCCCGTGCCAATCTTTCTGTGGGAAGCCCTGCAGGAGCCTGGGCCCTGCTTGTGTCCCATTCCTTGACCAGGTTGGAAGGAGTTGTTTGTGGCTCACTTTCCCTTTCAGCTTCCAGGCGACTTGAGTAGTTCAGTTTTGCTTATTTTCCTGTTTATCTGAAGGAACACTGCAGATAAAAATCATTAAATTTGAACATCTTCAAATAAGGTAGTTAAATCCTACTAATAATATGCATTTACATTCCCAGATTTATTAAATATATTTATCAGTACACATATGAACATTTGCACTTCGGACTAGAAAGAAAAGCATTACATTTGTGAAGGACAAAGTATGTTCTACCCCAAATAAAGGGAAACTGAAAGTGTATTTTATATTGCCTTATAGCTCTTCCGGGCTCATATGAGCATGGAATGTGTGATACAAGTTTGGGGGTACATGGTATACTTGCTAGTTCATCTGAGTGGTCTAAGGAATTGAGGTACAGGTGGGGGTAAACACTGAACTAACTTCCTGAGGAACATGGACACTGGTGCTGCCTTTTCTCATGGCAAGACTATCAATAGCTTCACTGATATGTGGAATGCTGAATGTGTACAGTTACCAGATGTTATAACATCATTAGTTAGAAGGGCTTATTTGGTAAAGGAGTGCCCAGTGGATGTATCTTCCAGGCAGTTCTTTCCTGCCCAGCCACGTAGACTTGATCATAAGAGTGATATCATGGCTAATTAATGTGATTAGTAGATTTCAAGTTCTGTTCTTTAGCAGAGTCAGTAGCCCCTCAATTACTCGTCTCTTGAGACTGCCATGGGAACCATTTTTAGATATAAGAGGAGGGAGCTGCTAGTGCTGCGGCCTTCCCTGCGCTGTGCTATCCCTGCTCTCTCCTCTCTCCTCCCATGGGAGAGAGCTTGGGGGAGAAGGCTGTTTACTCCCCTGGGGAGCTTTGCCATGGGAAGAGACACCTGTGGCACTCACATTTCTTCTAGAGCCATTTCAGTGGAGGGACTTAACCCCACCTGTAGCTCAATTCCTTGGACACAAAGCTGAAAAATCTGTGCCTGCTCCTCTGGCCAGCCATGTTAACCTTCACTGTATCCCCAAAGTCAGAGTGAAGGGAGTTTCCAGGTCCCTTTAGACATTATAAAGTGAATTGGGAGCAGTGTTTTTCAGACTGTACATGATTGCTAAAATGTTCCTGGGTCATGAAATCAGTTTAGTACTGGCTACCAAGGTATGTATATGTTTGTTTATTTTTGAGGTAGGATCTTGCTCAAGTTGCCCTCAAACTTGGTATGTGACCCAGACTGGCTTTGAACTCAATACTGCCACGGGCTCCTGAGTGCTAAGGTTTCAGGTGTGCCCAAACATGTCCAGCTCTTACCAGCATTTTAAAATGAAATACAGTAGAATAGAAAGTAGGAGTCCATACCATGTAGAAAGGCTAAGTATTGTTTTGTCAAGATTTTGAGTCAGAGGGTTGTATGTGTAAATCTTCCTGGCATTGTGATACTGTGATGCACAGTGTTATTTCCCAGGAGTCTCTGTTGAGAGGTGCCAGCCTCAGGACTGGAGATCCTTTGGGACTTACATTGTAGCAGAACAAACTGAGATTCCTGGAAGGGTATGTACTGCATAGGCCCTGTTATGTTTTGAAGAAGCATCCCAAATTCTTCAACACAAATAATAGTGTATAGAATTTCCCCAAGACCAGCTATTTAAAGTGGGTTTGTCTTTTTTTATTTAATTATTTATTTAATAATCACATACTTAGAAGAAGCATTTCATTACATCAGCATTGACATATTCAATAACAATTTTCTGAGCTAGGCTGCATCTCTTACAAAATTGGCTGTACATTTTTAGGTTTGCAGTTGAATTATTACAGTTATACAATGTTGAACTCAGTATAAACCCTATAAGGCATAAAACTGAATGGGGTTTTAGCCTTTAAAAAAGCTCTCCATTTCATTTTAAAATATACTGTTTCATACAGAAAAACTCATTTTGAATGCTACTAACACTTAGATGTTTGCACATGCATCTCTAATCTTTATTTATCTGATTATTACTAGTCATAATTGGTTGCACTTGGATCCTTCTCTCCAGATATTCTGGCTTAGATAATAAGATAGTTTGAATCCATGATCTCTGTACTCTTTAAATCTGATTCATAAGAAAAGGAAGCATTTAAAATTTTTTTTAATAACTACATGATTAGAAGAAGCATTTCAGTACAGCTTTAACATATTCAGTAACACACTCCAGAGCAACAGTACATCCATCTCTTTCACAAGTGGGTTCAAGTTTCTAGGTTCACAGTTGTATTAATATAGTTATATATTATTGAACTCAGTATAAGCCCTGTAAGACATAAAGTTGGATGAGTTTTTAACCTTTAAAATAGATCTCCATTTCATTTTAGAATACATTGCTCCTTGCAAACAGACTCATGGTTTTTGCTACTAACACTGAGATGCTGGCTCTTGCATCTCTAATCTGTATGTATCTGATTATTACTAGTCATAATCGGTTGCACTTGGATCCCTGGTGCCTGTGTATGTCTATAAAGTCATCGGGCAGATTTCAATGGTATTGTTTATCACCTCTACTAATTAGCATGACGTAAATTTCCATGCTTCCTCCTCAAATATAATACATTTTTTTAAAATTTGTTGATTTTTTTTTTTTTTTTTTGGGGTATGTGTGTATATCACACAGAAATCCCAAACCATCTCATTGGACTATACACCCACTTCCCAGATAGCACCCTCCCATAGCCTCCCTCCCCTAACTAGAGCCCTTATACTCTGATATCCCTGCTACTGTCTGCTGGGTTTGTCTTTTAAAAATATTTTATTTATTATTTTTAAATTTTGTGTGTGTATGAGTGTATTGCCTACATGTTATGTAAATGCACCTGTGTCATGCAGTGCCTATAAGATGTCAGAAGAGGGTGTTGGATTCCCTGAAACTGGAGTTATAGATGATTGTTAGCCACCATGTGGGTGCTGGGAATTGAACCTGGGTCCTCTGCAAGAGCAGCTAGTGCTCTTAACTGCTGGGCCATGTCTCTAGCCTGGGTTTGTCTTTTTAAATGAATGTTTGATGACTTGCACAGTTACTCTTGCTGTTCAGTAGATTTAGCATAAGAATGACTAGTTATTTGTATGTAATTCTTTTTGTTTATTCTCTTATCTCACAGTGTAAAAAATACAGGGACCAATTCACAGACCAGCAGAAGCTCATTTATGAAGAGAAACTAGAGGCCAGTGAACTCTTCAAAGACAAGAAAGCTTTATACCCTTCTAGGTATGTTTTGACTTTATGTATAAATACCAGTGTTTTAATTTTCCTTCAAATTATCTGTGGGCATTTTCTACTGGGGCTTAATTTCCATAACAGATGAATGATACTTAATGTGTAAACCACTTCAGAGTCCCCTGGCATCCATGGGGTGAGGAACAAAGTAAGATGAACAGTTTTTGGTTTTGTTCCATTGGCCTTAGTTTTAATCTTTTAGCAGATAATTGAAAGTGGTTCAAAATAAAAATTATATAGGCTATTAGGATGAATTTGGATTGTACAGTCTGTTTTTGAGTTTCCTTTTGCAGTAAACTATAATCACTGTTCCAGTGTTCTGCTGATAGTAAGCTAGGTCAGAAGCTCATTTACAAGGTCAGTGAGAGAGTGCGACAGTTCATTATTCTTTGGGATGTCCCTTAAGCATGGGTCTGTGGTGTCCTTTGGTCTGCTAACTAGTTGGTCATGACTTTTATGGCCTTTGCAAAAGTTCAGTTCCTTTGTTGTGGGCAGTGTGTACTCAGAAAAAGAACAAACACATTGCAAGCTGACAAGTCAAGCCCCTGCTAGACTGTATCCAAGTACTCCTGTGTATCCTACATTCGTCATTCTCCCCACAATCCCTGCTTCATCTGGAATTTATAAACAAGTAGGTTATGTAATTTCAAACAAAAATCTCTAATGACTTTTAGCTTTTCCTAGAGAATGGTCTAGAAATAAAAATGTATTCTATACCAAGTAGTCATGTGTACTTTATGTATCTGTATTGTTTCTGTGTTTATGAAAGGATTAAATGAACACAGTCGCCAGGCTCATTGGGTTTAAATATTTTAAATGGCACAGTTTCCTTGGTTAGCTTATTTGGCTGCTTAAGGTGGTTTGTACTCCCTTAAGTCAAACAGTGAATAAATCCAAAGCTATCCAAAGTGCCTCCTATATGAAGCATATTTAAGCAGAAAAGTTGCCCGTATGCTTTCAGCAGCAGCTGATTTTATTCAGCCTTTTCTTTATAAAGTCTTAAATTAGAGAATATAAATGTTCTTAAACATTTCCCATAGAAGACTTTAGAAACTGGAGGCTGTGAAATAAGGTACTGAGGAAGCTAACTAAAATTAGGCTCTTAGTGCTTTTTATTATTAAAAACATGATTGGCTGCGAACATAGAAAAGTCAACTTCAAGCCAAGTCCTTTCTGGGTAGTGTGTCAGTGTTTAGGGAGGGTGGCACACTCACCCCCGCCAGTGGGAGAGGTGGAATTTGCCTTCCCAGGCTGTGAAGCAGCAGCACCCATGGCTTCAGCCTGGTAGATCCTGGGAGCTGAGAAAGGCTGACCACCCACGTGGATTTTTTTTCTCCCCTGAGCCTCTACCCACAACACAAGCATTTCAAGTCTTCTGTGCTCCTTGCCAGAATTGAAGTCAAAATGAAGCTTGCAAAGCATATGGAGCAGCAGGGTTTGTTTTCATGGTGCTGGTATCTTTAAAGAAACCTCCCAGAGGGAGTCACCCAGGGTCCTTAGGGCCATCACACTTAAGTTACCTACATCATTACACTCTTAGCAGAAGTAGTTTGAAAGAACACTCTGACTTGTAGGAGTCCCTGTCACCTTACAGAGCACATCCTAGTGGGGGGGTTGGTCTTTCCTCTTAAAGGTCACCTGCTTAGAGCCAGTTCCATGGTAAATGAAGCACTAAATAGTTTCCTTCTGAAGTGATTGCCAACCCTAGAGCTGCCCTTCCTTCCCCAGAAGACATTGATTTTCTTATTCTGTGTAAGAAAATGAAATTCTTTGGAACAAATGACAATAAAGATCTTGGCTTTTTTTTTTCATTGTCACACAGTGTTTAAAGTTGTTAGTGCATCTTTTGTGAGCAGCTGTTATCTTTCTATTAGAATATAAGAAGAAATTGCCATTTCCTTTGTACAAGGCAATGTGCTTAAGTCTGGCTGTATCGTTAGTGATTTCTGTCCTATTTGTTGCATGTCACAAGTTTTTTACCAAAGTCCCATCTATCAAATGCCACAGCTTTCTTCTAAAATACATTTGAGGGGCTAGAGAGATGGCTCAGTGGTTAAGAGCACTTGCTGCTCTTACAATTCCCAGCATCCACATGGCAGCTAACAACTGCCTATAACTCCACTTTCAGGGGATCCAGTTCCCTTTTCTGGCCTGTGCAGGCATTGCACACACAGGTGCACTTACATGCAGGCAGAACACTCATACACATAAAATAAAAATAAATCAATCAAAAATTTTTTTAAAAAGAAACAGGTTTAAGGTTTCATTTCTAACTTACATTCAGACAGGTCCATGTATAATATGTAAAATAAATTGAGGTAACTTTTCACGAAGTTGTCAACTAGTCCTTAAGATCAGCTGACTCGTTTCCTTTTGCCAGTGGTACTTGCATTTGAAACCATTTTTAAGGTGTAGGATTTTTTTCTCCCTACAGTGTTGGGCAACCATTCCAAGGAGCTTACCTGGAAATCAACAAAAACCCAAAGTATAAGAAACTCAAAGAGGCCATAGAAGAAAAGATCATTATTGCTGAAGTTGTGAACAAAATTAACCGAGCTAATGGGAAGGTAAAGAGCTTGACATTTAAGGACCCGCATCACTTGAGAGTTGTTCCTAGTTTTCTGAATTCTATTATTCGTATTTCATAGTCTGATAGAGTTAACTGTAGAGGAAATCTGTCCTTACCCCTAAGCTTGAGTAAAATTTTGCTATCCTCTGAAATGCTTACAAATTTAAAATGAGAGCTAGGGAGACAGCTCAGTGGGTAAAAGCACTTGCTATGCAAGCATGAGGACCTGAGATTGAATTCCCAATGCCCATGTTCAAAGCCCGGCATGCCTGTGAGCCCTGCATTGCAGGGTGAAGATCTTTCTGGGTTTGTTGGGATCTTGTCCAGCCAGCCTAGCAGAAATGGAGAGGGTCTAGTTCATTGAGAGACCCTTTCTCGAGGGAATAAGAGGACGACAGAGGATGACACCCAGTGTCCTCTGCTAGCCTCCACATGTGCATCTGTGTGTGTGTGTGTGTGTGCGTGTGCGTGTGTTCACGCACAATTCTTAAAAACACACTAATTCTGTCCTTTCATGTGTTCTCAATTTATATAGGTATATATTTGCTAAAAGATACCAGGGTAAAATGTGTATTTCTGGAAATAAAGCTTTCCACTTATGGGCCATTTTAGAGTATTTGGGGTCATTGGTTTTATGTACCTTTTTTTTTCTTATTTCAGAGTTCATCCAGGATTTTCCTCTTAACAAACAGTAATCTCCTCCTTGCTGACCAAAAGTCTGGGCAGATAAAGTCTGAGGTTCCCCTGGTGGATGTGACCAAAGTCTCCATGAGCTCACAGAATGATGGCTTCTTCGCAGTGCACCTCAAAGAGGTATAGGTTTGCCCAGCGACTTGACGGGAGGGTTTCTCCAGTGTCCTGTTTCTCAGCCACTGACCAGATGTCCTCGTCTGACTAGGGCTGCCAGTGCCTCGCCCTTTTTACTGACTCGTAAAGTTTGGCTCCATTCACCCACATGCAAACTCTCAGGCTTGATTTTTCAGTAATTGAATGAGGTTAATCAGTTTTTTGACTTGCTCACGTGACTTTTTGTGAGTTATACATGGAAATGTCAGGATGTTTTAAATTATGTCTCTTCCTGGTGTTTCTTCTGTGTGCCAACTTAAAAAAATGGCTGCTTGTTTGTCTTTAACTTGATGATTTTATCAAAGTATGCAACTACAATAAAGAGTTGTGAAACAGTTTCAACTATACTTTTCTCTAAAACAGGGCTGATCATTGCATATACATCATAGCATTGGTAGGAGACATAGTACTGCACACAGTACATAGCAGGGAGAATGTCACATAATTGTCGTTACCGAATAAACTAGTGTTAGCAAGTGTTAATCATACACAAAAAATGCCGGGGCTGGAGAAATGGCTCAGCAGTTAAGAGCACTGACTGCTCTTCCAGAAGGCGTGGGTTCAAACCCCAGCACCCACATGGTGGCTAAGAGCCGCCCATAACTCCAGTTCCAGGGGATCCAACACCCAGTTCTACAGGCATTGCATAACATGGGTGCACATACATACATGCAAGAAATATACTCATACACAGAAAATAAAAATAGCAAATGAAAGTTTTAAAAACATTCCCAAAGGCTTCTCTTAACCTGTTTATCCCACCCTGAATCTTAACCAAAATGGGGGTATATCAAGTCATAGGCTATTGATTTTTGCCTCAGTCACTCCCAAAAAACAACTTGGGAATTGGAAAAATGTCTGATGTTCTGTCCATGTCCAAGTCCAGTCACAGCAGAGTTTCCTGGACTGGAGCATTGGCATCTTATTTACTACAAGTTCCCCCCTTGGATATTTGTTTGAAGAATTATTGTTGTTATTTTCTTCTTAATTGATTGCTTTTAAATTCTGTTTTGTTTTTTTTTACATTTATTTATTCATTATGCATGTGTATGTGTGTGGCATGTACATGCCGTGGTGCATGTGGTGGGCAAGGACAAATTATTGGAGACCGGTCTCTCCTGCCACTGTATCAGTTTCAGGAGTCGAACTCAGGTCATCAGGCTTGGCAGCAAGCACCTTTACCTGATGAGCAATTATTTCACCAGACCCTGTTGTTACTTTGAAAACTGAATCATTGCAGAGTTTTTTAGACAGTATTTTGAGAATGACTTACAAAATGGTCATTGCTCCTCAAACCTAAGCATGCAAACATACCACACAGGGATCTTGCTGGTTTCTCATCCAGAAGGCCTACAGTAGAGCCCAGAACTGATTACTGACAAGCTTCCAGGTAGCATGGATGCTGCTCTGGTCCATTGGCCAACTTCAGGTAGCAGGGGTTGAGTGGAATTGGAAGTACCACTCTTGTCCTTACTGTTATTGTGGGAGAATGAGCTCCAGTGTCTGAAGTTTTCAGAGACTGTTAATAGGTTTTCTGGCTAACCTGTAAACCTTTCCCTCCTCTGTTTTATTATCATCATCTGACTCATATTTTGTCTTTGCAGGGCTCAGAAGCAGCTAGTAAAGGAGATTTTCTCTTCAGCAGTGACCACCTGATTGAAATGGCCACCAAACTTTACCGCACGACTCTCAGCCAAACCAAACAGAAGCTCAATATCGAAATTTCTGATGAGTATGTTCATAGATTGTGCAATCCATTTTTCTACTTTCCACTTTTTTTGGTGGGGGGGTTGTTTGAGACAGGTTCTCCCAGTAGCCCCAGCTGGCCTGGAACTCACTATGTAGACCAGGCTGGCCTTGAACTCACAGAGATTCACCTGCCTCTGCCTCCCAAGTGCTGGGATTAAAGGCATGCGCCATGATGCCCCACTCCACTTTCCACTTTACTGTTACAGTTTGGTTCTCCAATCTCCTTCATTACTACAACTGCTTATGAGGTAGGAGTATGTTTCTAGTGTTGGTCGTCAGTGAAAGATGGGCTGTGGCTGACACTAACCAAGGCTCAAGTACCTGATACTCTGGTAGAGCTGTAGATGCTCAAATAAGATAATAGGTTCCGTGGTTGTGGCTTCTAGAAGGAAAGAGAGCAAGGGTGCTATTTTTACTAGGAAGGTCAGGGAGACCTCTTTGCTGTGACCTAAGGGAGTAAGCCAGGGAGAGGTGCAAGAAGGTGCCTTCCCATTTGCAGTAACAAGGGCCTGAGGTGGGAGCAATCTTTGTGGCAGAGTGAGAGGTAGGAGAAGATGCCGAAGAGAAAGCAGAGCCCAGTTATGCAGAGCTTGGTGAACTTGGAGTGGAGATCTTAATGAGAGTGATAAAATTTACAGGTTTTGAGCAAGAGTGTGGCCTTGCCTATTTTTCAGAGATAGCATCAGCTGCAGTGTGAATAGTTACCTAGTGTGGAAGCTAGTGTAGTACAGAGGACGTAAGTTAAGAGTCTCTCTAGGCTGTCTAGGTAGAAAAGGTGGCATGGCTTAAGCTAGGGTGTTTTAAGAGGTGGTGAGGAATGTGGCAAGAAGGAAACAGGAGGGGGTGTGAACAGAGTGGCTAGCAGAGCCCCACCGATGGAACTGCTTGTATTTCTCATGCCAAGAAAAGGACTTTGCAGGTATGGGAGTGGTGTTGCATAGTTAGACTTGAGGTGACTTTCATTCCATATATAGACAACTGGACATAAGGCAAAGGCATTCCACACTGACAAGGTTTGTAAGTAATGCTAAGACTGGTACAGATGTCACATTTGCTCCTTAAAAAAAAAAAACTTCACATTTGCATTTTAATTATGGATACGAATATTCCTAGATCTTATTTTCAAATTAAGAATTTTCTAAGCTGGGTCTGGTCGTACCTGCCTATAATCCCAGGATTCAGGAGGCAGAAGCAGGAGGATTGCTGCAAGTTCAAGGCCAGCCTGACCTGCACAGTGAATTCGAAGCTAAGTAGCAAGACCCTGTTTCAAAAGAGAAAATAATTTTCCAGTCTGTTCTATTTCCTCTCTTAGAAGTCTTTCTCAATTCATCTAGAGTTTTGTGCCTCCTTTGAGAATTAGGCTCTCTGGGGTGTGTGGCGACTCCCAGGGCCATCAGCTGGTCCCCACTGCTCACCACACACAGGGATGCTGTGTAGTTGGGGGGGTTGGCTTTGTGAACACTCCACATTGGGAATGGCTGTTTAAAGTAGACATCTTTTCTGGTTACTTTGTCATAAAATATGAAGACTATAGAACAGAATAGAGAGATGCAGTTAAGAGCACTAGCTGCTCTTGCAGAAGACCCAGGTGAGTTCCCAGCACTCACATAGTGACTCACAACCATCTATAATTTCAGTATCCAGTGCCCTGTATTGGCTGCCACAGGCATTGTGCTCACGTGGTGCACTTGCATTCATGTAGTCATACACATAAAATAAAAATAAATAAACAAAATATAATAATATTTGGAAAAATAATGGCCATTTTGGTTCTAATTGAGTAGGGTTTTAACCTGTTAGACTGTTAGAAGTTAAGCTCCCATTAGTTAGGTTTTTTCTTAATTTGGGATGCTGAGCTTTTAGCACTTTTCATTCACCATGAGAAGGTCATTTTTCCAGATGAAGATACTTTCCTCAGGCCACATGAATGCAGCAGCCTCCTCACTGGCCCTCTACATTGATGAGTGTGTCTGTGCAGAGAGAAGAGATCACACCTAAATCTAGACCATGAAGGATTTCTTTTTTTTTTTTTTTTTCTGGTCTTTTTGAGACGGGGGTCTCTCTATAGCCCCAGCTGTCCTGGAACTCACAGAGATCCGCCTGCCTCTGCCTCCCGAGTGCTGGGATTAAAGTCATGTGCCACCACGCCTGGCTAGGATTTCCATTTTTAAGCATTTCCAATACTGCTAGTCTAAAATCACTATTTTTTAATATTTTATTTATTTTTATTTTATTTTATGTATATGAGTGTATTGCCTACATGATGTAAGTGCACCCATGACATGCAACACCCACAGAAATCAGAAGAGATCATCAGATTCCCCTGGAACTGGAGTTATGGATGGTTGTTAAGTCGCCATGTGGGTGCTGGGAATGAAACCTGAGTCTTCTGCAAGACCAGTCAGTGCTCTTAATCACTGAGCCATCTCTCCAGCCCTAAAAAAACATTTTACAGATATTAACAACAATATGTCTATGCAAGAAAGTTCTCTGGTGAAAATTTAAAATCTTTCTTTAGTATAGAACTCTGACCCTCTGAAATCTAGTTTCTTTCCGCATCTCTCCTCACGACCTTGAGGGAGTAATGTGTTTTCTGTTTCCCAAGTGATAGTGTGATCAACACAGAACCTCTCCAGTGACTGTCTCTGGGAAATGCTGTTAGGATCACTTTCCTTCTGGGCAGCAGGGACCCTGCTCTGCCCCATCACAGACAGGCATGTAACATTCTGGATGTCACAAACTTTCAGTAAACAGTTGCCTGAGTGAAGATTTACAGTGTGACCACATGAAGATAAACAGTTGGTAGCATTATAACCCCTCTCCGTGCCTATTTCCTAATAGTCTGATGAAAATAGATCAGTGGACGGAACTTTGTGTACCCCTGTGGGCCCCGCCCCGATGCACCTCAGGAACCAGAGAGTCAGTTTCCAAGGTAGCCTTTTTGGCAGAGTGTTTCAGATTTAAGCAGACCGTGCAAAGTCACATAGGCAGGGATGGCTAGGCCTGTATTTCCAGCCCTAAGTGACTTTCTTCCATTCCCTTGCCAGATGTGTAGAACCTGGGTCATAAACAGCGCGCAGCTCAGTGATTGTGCCTTTCCTCTTGGTAGCCTTTTCAGATGTGAAGAAGCTGCTCTAACAAACTCGATTTCTGTGATCATTATGAATAAATTGGCTGAGTTTTCAGAAAGAGAGTCTTAAGTCTTGCCTGCTAATTAAGACACATGTAGAAAAGTAAGGGTTGAATTCACTGAGACTTGATTACCTCATAATTCTTAGTTTTTAAACTTCTAAACAGTTGACTGTGTACATAAATTGCATCTTAAGGAAAACTTGTGAGAGATAAAGTGTTTCTAAAATGAGGTCCTGACTTTGCCTCATTCCTTCTCGTTTCATTACGATATTCTGGCTGGTATTAACACTGCAAAATAATATATTCCATATTACTGTTGGCTGGGGAATGCTGTTCAGGTTTCTCTGCTATGAAATGGAGCTGAATAATAATAGTTATCTCTCTCCAGTTGTTTTAAGGCTGAGTGAGTCCATGTGAGTTGGACGTGGTATAAAGTGCATTTCAGTTATGGCTTTTTCCAGCATGAATCTTAATCGTGCACTATGTGAACATGGACACAACTCTTACACACTGAATACACTATGTGTAGTCTTTGAAAATTAGTATGTAGAAGTATTTGTCTTTTAAAATGTGTGACCTTCTGTTAAACTTGATTTTTTTTTTTTTTTCTGTTTGAGGCACACAAAATCTATATGCTAGAAACAGATCTCAGGTAGGCAAACAGAATTACAGCTTTCTTCCCCAGTGCTTTCAAGTTATAGGAAACAACCCATTTGGAAGATCAGTGGTTTATCCTTTCCAAACAATTGATGAGGAGCTGAGGAGGTCACTCAGTAAAATGCTTGTCTTAGAAGCACGAAGGCCTGAGGTCAGTCAGTCCCCTAGAACCCGTATGAGTAAACACTGGGCCTGGTGGTGCACACATGTAATCCTAGTGCTGGGGAGGGCAGAGACACAGGCGCATTCCTGAGGCTCACTGCCCAGCCAGGTGAGCTCCAGATTCCATTGAGAGATTCTGTCTCAAAAAACAAGTTAGATGGTGCCCTGAGGAACAGTACCCAAGATTGACCTTGGTGTGCGAGCACGCGTGCGTGCGCGCGCGCACACACACACACACACACATACACACACAGGGGTGGTGGTGGTGCATGAATATACACACAAAATAAATAAAGCAATGGATGAATTCACGTCACATTTACCCCAGGAGATGATATTTGTGAAACATGGCCTCTTACTGGGAATAATGTATACATATATCAGAGCCATTAGATCCTTGCTGGTGCTGTGGGTGTTAAGCCATCACCCATATGCTTGTTAGCATGAGTCACTTAAGAATGTGCCATAACTTAGAATGCTGTTCCCTGAGATACACTGGGAAATGTCCTGACACTGTGCTGATTAGAATGTGAAGGGGAAAGAGCACTGGTTTTGAGATGGGAAGCCCTGCTTTCTGGGCCAGGCCTACTGTGTTTTTGCCTTCTCAAAAGATGCTGTTCTAGAGCTCAGGGACCTCATTATCCAGAGTGGGGAGTGTGTAAACAATTCTGAAGACAGTGGCATGGCCCTGCTGGTGTGTGAAAGAATTGGAGTAGGATGTGGTTTCCTTTGTGCATCATGTAAACCACAGGTACAATAATTGTATGTGTGTAGAAAATGATTTTTTAAATTATTTTTTAGATTTATTAAAATGTTTATAATGGAGGGGATGAGAGATGACTCAGTAATTAAGAGCACTGACTGCTCTTGCAGAAGATCTGGGTTCAATTCCCAGCACCCACATGGTGCTAACAACCATCCGTAACTCCATTTCCATCATGATTTTTTCATGCTTTTATTTTGAAGTAATGTAAGGTAAAACTAAAAATTACCATAATGTGCAGTTAGGACAAAACTGTGTAGGGTGTATGTGAATATCTTTCTGAAATTGTTTATTTCATTTGCTTTATTTGTTGATAATTTAAAATTTGATCCTTTTTAAAAAAAATTGCCATTCACAAATGAAGGAAGAGGGAGATACAGAGTGGGAATGTTTCTGTTGGAAATGTGAAGTAATCATATTGGCTGGTCTTACCTCCTGGAGTGTGATGAGTTGGTGGACTTCTGAGGCTAGCTGACGACTAATGGGTAAAATGCAGTTTCAGGTCCACAGGTGGAAAGAGTAGCTTGCCAAGGTGAATGTCCATCACAAAAAAAAAAAAGAAATGGTACAGCGACCTCTGATCCTCACCTGCTTTGTGTGTGCCTGAATTTGTTTGATTCTTTTCTCCTAGGTTCCTGGTACAGTTCAGACAGGACAAAGTATGTGTGAAGTTTATCCAAGGCAACCAGAAAAATGGGAGTGTGCCAACGTGCAAACGAAAAAACAACCGCCTCCTTGAAGTTGCTGTCCCTTAAATAATGTCTTCTTTCTGCCTTCATGGACTTGTTTCTTTGTAATAGTGCAATTTGATTTTGTTTCATTTGGGGTTCACTGTATGTTCGGGAATTGCCAAAGACTAGCTGTTAGAGTCCCTTGGCAAAATAAAAGTATTTGACTAATCAGTTTTTATTATTGGAATAGTTTAACCCTTAAATCTTCATTCTGTCCTGGGCAGGATTATAGAAACTAACAGTGTCTGTTCCCATGCCATATGTGTTTTGCCTTTAGTTACCATGTTACACCTGTGTACCCTAAATCCACATATTACTCCTAGATCATTAATACATATAAGCGTAGGAAAGGGTCTTCAAAGATAGTGCATTCATTTATCAAGTATTTATTGAATGCCTACTCTATGCTGGGCACTGTGCTGAATGGCATGAAAACTTACTAGGAGACTTTTTATCTCTAAGGCTGTTACATTCGGGCTGGTTGGTGCTGGTGTAACAACAGCTAAGAAAGTTGGAAAAGGTTGAGTCCGAATGATACCTACTAATGATGCCAGCTTTCTGTGGCTGTAGGGTAACTGTAAACAGTGCACATCAAGACTCCAAGGTCCTAGAAGAATAGAAATGATGGCTGGGTGAAATCCTGCTACATTTGTTTTCTCTTTGAAAAAGAATAAAACTGACATTTGGACATACTCTTTTATTGCTCAGATCTCCTTTATAGTAGAAAACAGAAGTCATTCTTATTTTAGAAAAAGTTAACATCAGTCCAACCAAATGCTGTGCCTCTCTCCCTGATGGGATCAGATAGGACCCCAGATGTGCTGATCTCTAGTGTTTTCACCCAGCTATTGAAACAGCCCAGCAAGGAAAGGCTGAAAGCTGTTCAGCGGCAGATGTACTCTCTATGATGTGCAATAAAACATCCAAGTCCTTTTTGAAAGTTTTATTTATAATATACATTTTTTGTATGAGAGATGTGATTGGTACAGGGTGTGTATTTAGTCAAGGATCAAAACTAAGTCTGGATTAATTTGCAGGACTTTTTTCACTACAAATTTACGATAAAGATTCACTTTGGAAACCACATTTTAAACTTTGGAATTGTCTCTTATTTGGGAGGATAATGTAAATACATTGGCATTATGTTAAATAATAAAATTGTTCTAATTTGGTGCCATTTGCTGGATCACAACTGTATTTTTGTATTTCATGCTATTTTCATATGTTGTATGTCAAAGTATTATATCACAGAAAGGTTTTACAATCCAAACATTATATGGTCTCTGTGTTAATTGAATTCCACTAATCTTTTATATACCAGAAGCAGTCATTGAAAATATTCTCTGAGGGTTTTCTTTTAATTTTTTTTTGTACTTTAAAAAAACATGGTTACATAAAAAAAATTTTTTTCAAAAGTCTTTGTGTTTATTGATGCAGGCATAGGATATAATGCTTTTCAAACTTTTCCAATGTGCTCAAAGATGATAACTTAATAGTTTCTGATATAAAATAAGTGGAAATTTGGGACCAAGAACTGTTTTTTGGTTTTATATATTAGGTTTGCATTTGTTTTGTTTTGTTTCTGTTGTTTTTAGATAGAGTCTCCCTGTAGCTCCAGCTGACCTGGAACTTGCTATATTGACCTGGCAGGCCTAGCTCCTGCAGAGGTCCAGGACCTGCCTCTGCCTCTCAAGTGCTACAATTAAAGGCACGCAGCCCGTTTTATGTTTTAATGTTTTTTTTTTTAACTCTGTAATATATTTATAGGGTACAAAATACTGGTCAGTATGAAAAGGTATACAGATTATCATCACCCACTATCTGCCTGTTTCCCACCCCAAAACTTAATTTTTTAGTTTAGTGGGGCTGTTTTGTTTTGTTTTGGTTTGTTTTGGTTTGCTTTGCTTTGCTTTTGCACTACATGATGCATATGCTGGTAAGGGGAAAGAGAGATAGAGATTCTTACCATCCACTGTTCTAGCAGACAAAATCTACTGTGTTGATAGACACATAAATCTTGCCCTTTTCTCCTAGCAGAGTATCACAGGGAACTCCTCATTCTTTGTACAGGGGCATAGTCCACTCTTGTGAGGTGCACTGAAATGTCTCCTCTGGTTCCCTGCCATTAATCACTGAGTTGCTTCCTGAGCAGAACTAAATGATGGAAGTCCCACGTGGAAGTCCATATTCCATGAGTCAGCTTGTTAAATTTTCCTAAATACGAAATTTAGAGATTTTTCATTGTAGTGGTTTGCAACAATAGCATTTAGCAAAAGTATATAGTTCCTTTTTAATCCTAAACAGCATTGTAAGTAATATGTAAGGATTTAAAGAACATATCAAGAATTTGGGAAATGTTTTTGCAAGTTGCTTCTGTTACCATCTTGTCACTGACAGTTTTGATCATGGGACTCACTCTACGTGAGTACCTTTACTAGTGGAAAGCTGCTTCTTGGTCAGGCTGCAGGGTGACCCTGGCTATGAAGGTGGAAAGTTTGTGTCCATGGAATGATGCTCCCCTTTCTTTTCCATGGAGCAAGCAGGCAGTTAAAGTCCAGTTACTAAAAGCAAATATTTAGAGGTTTTCCTCTTAGAATCTTAAACCCTCAGTCTCAGTCTTGAAGTTACAATGGACTGTTCCTCAAAGGAACCTACACTTTGATCGTTTGGGAAACATTCACATTCCCCATGGGAAAAGCAGTCAGAATTTGGTATATTAGAATGCGGGGGCAAAACTTCACAGTTAACGTGATCCCTGATAGAGCAGTCTTTCTGAAAATGTCACTGAATGTTAGCCCAGGTCAAAGGCCTGTTTTAAGAAAAGAATTTTAAAAACTAAGCAAATCCATGTCAATTCTGGGCTATATCCTAGATCAACTCAATCAGAATCTCCAAAAGATGATTTGAAAATAGGCATTTAAGGGACTAGAGAGATGACTCAGAGCTTAAGAGTACTGACTGCTCTTGTAGAGGATCCAGGTTCAGTTTCCAGCACCCACATGGCAGCTAACAACCATCCGTAACACCAGTTCCAGGGGAAACATGCCCTCTTCTGACTTCCATGGGCGTTGTACTTAAATACATGATACATGCAGGCAATACATTCATACACATAATAAAATATTTTTTAAATAGGCATTTAAAAAAGGATCCCCAAACAGTTTATACTTACTAAAGTTTGAGAACCACTAAGGAAAACATTGGAATCACTTTGTATCCACACACAACAATCTACATCTTAAAACTGCCCTGGTGATTGCAGTTCATAACAAAGGTGAGAAGTCCTGGCTAGACCTGGTCTCTAGCTGCATAGGAACAGCATTGCTAAGACACCTGCTGACACTGCCCACTCTTGGTGTCTGACTAGAGGGCACCACATCACTCATCACTGTCCCTAGACAAGCAGCTGAGGCTCCTTTCTCTGTGAGTTTCTGCTAGTGCCCTGCAGTGGACTAGTGGGACTCCAAAATCCTTAATGCATCCTGATCTGGCCACATAACCCAAACTTGTTCCCAAGCATCGCTCAGAAGATTGCCCAGCCCTGAAGTGACTTCTAGGAGTTGCTAACAGATGTCCTGAAATAAACAGTTAATTCATACCCATGGTATAGTTGCCAAGATGGCAGCGGATTGATGGTTACTCTTGGCTGATTGATACCAACCACAGAGAGAGGTGGGAACGTGAAAATAGCTATTCTCTTAATGACGTTGCAGTTTTGTATTTCAAGCTCTTAGAATAATAACTTGGGCCCAAAACTCAGATATAAGTAAGGCCTTCAGCCAAAGTTGGAATGTTTTTAATTATTCTTCATAGGTGATAGGACAGTATTTGTAAAGGCAAAAACTAGGTCAAGTGTTCTGAGTATTAGACATACACAAAAAATGAACCATTTTATTTTCACACCAGGTAATACACTGACGAGGCTAAAGCTATTGTGAGTATTTTGACAATTAGAGCATGGTTTAAAATACTTTGAGGCCAAATATAAATTTTTAATCTGGGGCTGGAGAGATGGCTCAGCGGATAAGAACACTGACTTCTTGCAGAAGACCTGGGTTCAAATCCCAACACTCACATGGCAGCAAACAACTGTCTGTAACTGCAGTTCCAGGGGATCTGACAGTCTCTTCTGTCTTCCGAGGGCATTTGCACTACACGGGTGCACTTACCTACTTGCAGGCAATACATGCATACACATAAAATTAAAATATTTTTAAAATATTTTAATCTTTAAAATTTAAGGTAAGATATTTCCTTGCCTTGATGAAATCTTCAGATAGCAAATCTGTTTAAAATACGGTGAGTTGCTGGGGAAAGATTTAGTGAATTCCACCAGAATGTGACCTAAGAACCTTTGTCTTCAAGTTGGATGTTATTTTTCCGTAAGTACTTCAGAACTCAAATTCATTAGAACAGTTTGATGCAGGAGAGTGGAAGGGAAGAGAAGAAAAGCAGTTTGACTCTTCTGTCCTGGTGCAAAAGCAACTGTAACATGTCTCCAATGTTTAAAGATTTCTGAGGGCTTCCGAGCTGTCATGGGAGGAGCTCCTTTGCATCTCATTTTAATAAATGTGACCTGCTCTTTTGTTCTCAGGATTTCCTTAGCTCAGCTGGAGGAAGCCACTGCCAGATGAGTTGGTGCTTCTTTCTGTTCTCATCAGCTTCTCTTTCAATAGCCACATGGGAGAAAATGAATTGTTTCAAGTTCGTTTCCTCCAAATCTTGGAATGTCTGCCTGCCTCTTCGGTTTGAAGATCATTTTCAGAATCTGGAGTTAATCACAGTGCAGCATAAGCCACAATCTCTCTTCCTCATTAACTTTTTTCCCTGGTATGGTGGCCGGCCCCTCAGCCCCGTTCCATTACGTTCAGCAAAAATCCAACTTCATAACCAAGGAAAATAGTCAGCTTTTCAGTGTGTTGTTGAAGAGGGAAATTAATTTTAACTCTATTTACCAAATACCCTGGCAACTCTTGGGTGAATGAGACCAGCCACTTATCTTAGTTACTTTATGTTCACCCTAACTTCAGTTTTTTTTGTTTTGTTTTCTTTTTCTTTCTTTTCTTGAGGTAGGACTTAACCAGTTTACTCTGGCATATTATCTTAAAATAGGGTTTTGAATAACATATACATCAGAAGTGCACACATGAAAGTGAACACATCTGTGCAACTAGCACTCGAAACAGGCACTCTGAATACAGCATCCAGAAACCCCTTCATGGCAGCCACACTCCTCCACCAAAGTAACCTGTCTTCTAATTCAATTAGAACTGCCCATTTTATTTTATTTTTGGTCTTTTTGAGACAGGGTCTCCCTGTAGTCCAGGCTGGCCTGGAACTCACTATATAGACCAGGCTGGCCTCAAATTTACAGAGATCTGCCTGCTTCTGCTTCCCCTGCTGGGATTAAAGGCCACCATGCCTGGCTCACAATTATGTAATTATGTTGCCAATGGTAGCTATTTGGCTGTTGTACATAGGGTTGTGGCAGATGTTCTTACATGAGTCTTTTGGCAAATTTGTGTACATATCTCTGTTGAATGGCTACCTTAAATGGATTACATTAGACACCTCAATCTGTGGATTCTCAAGCTGATTTCAGAAGACACTGCACTCTGTAAGGGTTAAAGTTGATTATTACTGGTGCTGGCACCACACCTGGTGCTGGCAGTTTTTTAGTTCTGGTTATGGTGAATCTTAGCTTGAATCTGTGTCTTCTGATCACTAAAGAACTTCATTGCTTTGTCAATAATATCCAAGTGGTAGATCCTCTTTGGCTGTTCAAGGATGTCTGTGTTGTCTATTTTTCCTTTTTGGTTTATATTTCTGTATATGTTTTACATAAGGCCTTTGTGTGTATGGCATACATCTCATGGTCTGCAGTGACTTTTGTTGTTTTATCAGTGCCTTCTGGTGAACTGAAATTCTGTTTTACTGCAGTCTAGATTATCAATTATTGCTTTTGTGGTTAGTCCCTGGTTTCCTGTTTAGGAAGTACTTCATTATCTGAGATTGCAAAGATGCTTATCACTGTTTTCTTTTAGAATATTTATTGCTCTGCCTCTCACGTTTAGCTATTTAGTCCAGTTGGAGTTGAATTTTTTAATGATGTAGAGTGGCAGAATTCATATTTGTTTTTCCTCAATATCGAGTATCCAGCAGATCAAACACCTTTTATTGACCAGGCCAACCTTCTCCATTCTAGTGTGTCTAGATCCCTTCTCCCACTACCTTGACTTTGTGTCAGTACTGAACTGCTATTGTTGCTTTACAGTATGTTGGCATAGACCTTTAAAGGTGAATTTTGTTACTCAGCCATCCTCAGCTTTTCTGATAGGAAAATAAGTTAAAACTTTAAAACTAAAAGGTATGC